ATGTTTTTGGCATTTACTGACAATTTGTTTACCATTAAAATTATTATTTATATAATGATAATGATATTTTCATTTTCTATTTAGTCTTATATTTTAGTGATAATTGAATGTCATATTAATGGTGTGTCAAAACAATTATATTAAATAATGTTTACCAAATGTTGCCAATAGTGTGTGTATTATTGATATTATCATCAATTTAAGTTCAAATAACTATTATTAAATTACTCTAATGTTATGTCATGCAATTTAGCTTAACTTAGAAATTATTTTCTAAATAAAATAACATTTACTATATACCGGTATATATATATACCATATATACCATATATATATACAAATATTCAATATATTGGAGTACATTAAATAATATATCAAAATTTATACAAAGGTATCTCAATTGTATAGCTATACAACAAATTAATTAAATTTCTAATAAAATCAATAATCAAATAAAGTGCAGTAAATTATAATGTTTATAATATTAGTGTATATGATGAGTATAATGATATCATTATTATTTGTTAAGTTACTAATTCATTATAAAAATAAACAATTGTTTCTAAAATTACATTTTTACGACTATTTTATTTTTTAAAAATGTTTTTACTATAATTTAATATAAAATGAATTTAACAAAATAAATAGTTATTTATTTATAAATTAAATAAAATAATATTTACAGTAAAAATAACAATATAAATGTTTTTGATTAATTTTATAATACAGTAATAAATACATATTAAATTTTATATTGTGATATTAGATATTATAATTATATAATTTATTTGAAATATCAATTGTATTATTTTTATCATATTCACTAACTCCTGAAAGGAATAAGTATTTGAATTCTATAAGTCCTTTTGTCCGCATTTGATTGAATTTTGAAATTTTGACTACAGATTTGGATTAAGTATTAAAAATTTGATATCTCATCGAGAACTTAGAGAAAATGGCGGCCAAAGTACAAAAGTTTTAAATTTAATGTTTAAACCTTAGATTTAAATAAAGCATAAAAATAAGTTAAATGGAATTAAGATACAATTTTTTATATTTTAAAGAACAGAAAAATAAAGGAATTAAAATTTAAAGTAAATGTAATAATTTCTTAGTTACTTTATACTCTATATGACTAAAGTTGATTTTATTTTGTATTATTGAGTCATTTAATACCATACATGACCAATGTTGAGTTTATTTTGTATTATTGAGTTATTTGATACCATACATGACCTATGTTGAGTTTATTTTGTATTATTGAGTCATTTGATACCATACATGACCAATGTTGAGTTTATTTTGTATTATTGAGTCATTTGATACCATACATGACCAATGTTGAGTTTATTTTGTATTATTGAGTCATTTGATACCATACATGACCAATGTTGAGTTTATTTTGTATTATTGAGTCATTTGATACCATACATGACCAATGTTGAGTTTATTTTGTCAGTCATTTGATTTTAATTTTTACTTTGGATAAGGAGTTCGTATGAAAATGCTTTTTAGCATTCTCAACTGGTTTTTAATAAATAAGTTTTATATAAAAGATAATGAAATAACTTATTAATATTAGAAATAAACATAAAACTAGTAACGATATCTAGTGTTATATTATGTTACAATAGATATGCTTTTAAAGTACAGTAGTATTACGTTATAAACTTTATGATTAATATATACAGTATATAATAGATTTAAAATTACAATATTATATAAAAACAATTTTTATAAATAATTTTTAAACATTTCGATTGTCATTATTCCCGTCCAAAGCTCTCGTATCGCTTACATGAGTGTTGGTCTCAATGAAGACATTATAATACAATAAATTAGTGTGAATTGGGGTTTATGTCTGCTGTCAAACACACAAACCATATGAATATCACTATTAATATTAATAATATTGTATTAATAATTTCAAAGTGTTTTCAATTAAAGTTAAGTTTTTACTGTCTTTCTTCACTTTACTGCCAACTAATAAAATGACTTTATTTTCATTAAATGATATTCAAAATTCAATATTTAATTTTAAAAAAATTGCGTTAATTAATAAAAATTTAATTTAATTTATTAACATTTTCATGTTTTAATGTAAATGTTTTTCATTTGTTGGGGTTTTTATTCAGTAATTAGACAAAAGCTAAACTTAAACACATTATTATCAGAATTATTATATATATTGTAATCTATAATACTATATAATTTGTTCAATGTTTGTGTGACGCAAACAATTAAATTTAATGTGTCGGCGATTATTAATAATTTTAATTTATTAAATAAAAAATAAATAAAATATACTTTTTATAATACACTGTATATTATATATAGCGCGTGAAAGCATTGTTTAGTAAAGAGATAGATTGAGAGAATATTGTTGCACGTGTTAACTATTGATACACATTTTATTACATGGATCTAATTAGTATATATAGAATAGATACTGACAGGAAATTCTTACTAGCTTAATTTTTAAATTAAAATTTTACGTTATTATTTGCAAAAAATAAAAAAAGTAAACATTAATTAGTAATAGTTTATATGTACATGATGATATTTTTTATAAGTTTTTATAATGTTTAATAAAGTACGTTGTCAATTAATTTAAAAATTAAGCTAGTAAGCTTTTCCTGCCTGTATCTAATATAGAATTACTAATACATGTATATTAATAACAGAACACATCTATCTGTCAAACCTATCCCTAACTAACTAAACCCATAAGGCGTGGTTCACATATTACGTTCGCAATTAAGGGGAGGGGGGTTAGCCATTCGAACTTCTGCGAACAAGGGGGAGGGAGGGGTAGAGACATTAAGAATGTTCGCATTTAGATATTTTATTTCTTGTGATGGGGGGGGGGTAGTGGTTAGGGACAAGCGAACGTAATTTTTTTTAATGACTACATGCGAACAATTGCGAACATAGGAGAGGGAGGGGGTCTATATTTCTTAAAAAGTGAGAACGTAATATGTGAACCACGCCTAATCATATTTATAACCTAATCTAACCAAACTATTAGTGATTAATTTATTTTCTGCGAAATAAAATATGATTAATAATAGGGAAATGATTAATAAAAATAACTAATATAAACATGTTTTATTAGGTGCCACTAAAATGCAGTCTATCCTAATCGGCTACCAATGACAGAGAATTAAGTGCATTTCAATCAACAATTAGCAAAAAATAGTAATATGATTATTATTTTTTATAAAAATAAAATTGATTTTTTATTATAAGTTGATTACTTTAATTTATTGTAGCAAAAATTATTAATAGTAAAGTGTGTTTCAATCGTATAAAACCACAACAAAAAAATTGAATAACTTTTGATAGGATTGAGATATTTTAATGAAATTTTAGATAATAAAACTTAAAACATTTCTACATCTGTTGATGTGTTTATATGTCATACCTTAACAATGGTTTGTCCGCACCGCGCGATTTAACTAAAAATAGCGTTTCACTCGTATAAAACCAGTCGCGAGACGTATAAGAAATCAATACTATTTCTATCAAAGTTTTTCATTGTTGAAGTGGTCTTAATAGACATTTATGTAATTTTTTTAACTGTAAAACCAGTTAAAACAAAATTTTTTGATAAATTTTATAAAATATATACTATAATTAATAAATGTTATAAATTTCTTTAAAGTACAATATGATTTGATGAAAATATCAACAACTAAATATAGCATTATTTAATACTATAACAAATTAATGCTAATTTATTGAAATTTTAGTAACGTAAGTTTAGGTGCTGATATTTTCATCAAATCATATTGTACTTTAAAGAAATTTATAACATTTATTAATTATAGTATATATTTTATAAAATTTATCAAAAAATTTTGTTTTAACTGGTTTTACAGTTAAAAAAATTACATAAATGTCTATTAAGACCACTTCAACAATGAAAAACTTTGATAGAAATAGTATTGATTAAAATTAAATTAAAAAATTAAAAATATAAGTGATGGGTGTGTGTGTGTGTGTGTGTCTCATAAACTGAAGGAAAGGATGCGATAGATAGAGAGAGAGAGATAGTACTGTATATATATGTACAGTATGTATGTGTATGTATGGGTGACATCTCTGTGTGATTCCCCACCCAATGGATTAGCCATCGCTACCAAATATTCCACTTCTGTCGCAAAAAAAACTTGCATTTCTCTCGTAATTTAATGCAAGCGTCGCCTAATGTTTTAAGCACTTGTTGTATTAGTATCTCCTGTTTTTAGTAAATTAACGTATTTTTATAGATATTTTTACTATTTTATTAAATGTTTATAAAATACATTTAATTTGATCTTATAAAGTATTAATTTATTATTAATATATACTATTATAAAGTATAATAATACAACTAAAATATTTCATTTATATTTAAATTTCATTAAAATATGGTATAATTTTTCTAATAATAGAAACAATTAGACAATTTTGATATATAATTGAAAGTAATAACTAATTATTAGAAATTACTGATTATGACAACAATGGCGTCAATTATTTCTTTTATTTTTTTCACAATTTACTTCTGTGTCTGAAATTACTTTTTCCCTATTATTGTCTATTAAATAGTTTTTCATTAATTAAAATAGTTTTGTTTTGAATACAATATTGTTATCGTTTATTGCTTACTGTTATTGAAATATATATGTGATATGACTTAGATTTCGGTACATTGTTTTGAAACTATCAATAATTTGTTGCTTTGTATGCATTAATACACCAGTCATTTATCATTGCATAAAAATACCGGTATATCATTCAGTTTCTTAATATTAAAACCAAATTTAGTGTTGTTAGCAATTATCTGATGATGTCATTCATTATAATAATAATAATATACATACAATACCAACACTTGCTATGATAACAACTCTATGTGAATTATGACAATCATATTTAAGTAAAGTTGTATGAAATGTTAAATCAGTAATTTATTTAAAAATTACAAAAATAGTAAATCTTAATAAATTTGCATTATATTTGATAACAAGGAAAATAAGACTCAAAAATGTTTGTTAAGGTAATCGATGAATATTGTTGTGATCGTGATATTTATTCAGATCCTTTAAGTTGTTCCACCACTCAAACAGGAAATTATCAATCATTAGTCGAAACCAAGGCGTCACCAGATTTCCCTTCTGCTCTTCATTTTCTGATTTAATCAAACAAACAATTTATTAATAATTACCGGTACTTATAATTGCAATAATTATAAATTATATTAAGTTAAAAAACAAACCCAAAAACGACAAAAGTTGATCTTTAGGTAAATATTTATAGAATTTGACTTCATTTGGATCAGGGTTTAGTTGGACGTCCTTTTGTATGACCAAAGCGTAATCAATTTCATACTCTCCCCAAACGCCACCCGACGGCGCTTTGTATAGAAATCGCGTCATATATTTGATGTCTTGGAGCGGAATCTTCAACGAATCGATTCCCAATTCAATGTGAAGACGTCTTTGAGCGGCTCTCTTGACTCCAATGGCATCCATTTCATCCCTTTCCAGATCATTATATAAGGGATGACTACAACAAGTGTTAGTAAAATATGTGGGAAATGTAATCTTTGCGTCAGATCTTTGAGTGACGAGAAACTCTCCTCTGCTGTTGAATAGCATTACACTAAATGCCCGGTGAATCAGTCCGTTGTCTATATTTGACATCAAATGACACTCTTTCTTGGATTTAGATCCCAAAGGCTTATCATTTTCATCGACAACAATACACTCTTCATTGAGAAGTTGTACCTGTTTTGGGTCCAAATTGCAGACAATCTGATCCTCCATTGGTTTCCAGTGTTGATGTCTTGTCGATAATGTCTTCACCGATGTATTCAAATGTATGACTCGTTTGCAAAATGACTGCAAATTTCTGTTTAAATGACAATCAATTAAAACAACAGTTAATGTATTGATTGTAATGTTTAGTACAACTCATAGACTAATCAAATGAAATACATTTCTAATTATAATTAACTTATATTTCATATAATATATAATATATGACTAAAAATAAATAAATATATAATTTTAGTTTCATTTCAATGACAACTATATATCATATGATTAAGTAATTCAATACATTTAACAACATTTACTAAACACTTACGTCAACATTGTTTTACACATTTTTGTCTATCATTTAAACAAATATTACATTAAATATCATTTAAAACATCATTTACTATAAAAATCAAAACATTTAAAGTATTTAATATTCAATTAAAATGTTTACAAATCATTACAATTCAAACAATAAATTACTTAAAAAACTGAACTAAAGTTTGCAATCATTGTATTGAATGACATATAGTAGAGGTCGACACCAATCGCTAATCAATTGGTTTTAGTGTTTGAATTCAATTATAACTACAATTCAATAATTTATTTATTGAAAATTATAGTAAAATTTATTTAAATTGACTGTAACTTTGTTTTAATAATACTTTTAAATTTTAGTTCGCTTTTAAATTTAGAAATAGTTTTTGTTTATATAAATATTAGATTAAATGTATTTATTATTTTTTAAACATTTTAACCGCATCTATGTATAAATATTCTGTAAATTACATAATAAATATTAAATATATAATATTAAATTTAAAATTGGTTTTTTATAATTAGTTTTAATATTTTGCGATTTGTTTATACAAATAATTTATAAATTTTAAATATTAATTAAAAGAATATATATGTTATAGCAATTGTTAATTAAAAATATATAATAATTTTTATAAATATTATATAAGTTATTGATATTAGTTTATATTCTATGTCTTAAATATTTGTATTTTTTAATAAAATTTTATAATAACTATATAAAACATACGAAACATAAAACGAGTTATACTAAATGTATATTAAAGATGACTAAATTTAATCAAAATTATATTAGCAATTTTAACTATTTTAACATGCACAAATTGTTGCCATAATTTAACGTTAAAAAATAATTATAAGTTATAACTGACTCTTTATGCCTGGTATTAAAAATACTATAAATAAAATATATTATGTTTAGAGTTCGGGCAACTTTTCAAGGAAGGAAAGTTCCCAAATAAAATCCCTCAAATTTGGCCGGAATCGTGAAAATATTTTATTAGAAAGATTAGAAAGAAAGAAAATATATTTTATAATATCACAATATATAGTACCAAAACTTTAGTATTTTGGCTAAAATTTCATTGAAATATTTAAAACATTGAAAATAATAAAAGTGATACTATATAACAATACTACTCAAAAAGCTTAATATAACATTTGTTTTTAAAACTTTATGATAAAATTTGTTGTTTAAGATTCAATAGAAGAGAGCACAAGAAAATAGATTCCCTGGGAATTCCTTAGGATAAGAAAATAGGGTTTTTTGAGAAAATAAAACGAGGGATCGAACCCTAATTATGTTATAATATTGGCAATACATTGTATTATTTGTCCATGCTAAGTTAGCATTGCTAACTATATTTTTAAATTAATTTAGTCAAGTTTAGTACAGTATATGCTCACAAGTTTTTTCGTGTTTTATTTTAAATTACAATTTTATTATATATTTTTAATAAATTATATTCAGTATAAAGGATATCATAATATTACTAATTTTGGTTTTTGTTTGAATTAAATATATATTTATTTATTTAGAGTCGAAAAAGTAAGCTTTTGAAAGGTATAACTTTGAAACGTTATTTATGTCTGAAATGTAAGTAATACTTATATTTTAATTTAATACAGAATATAGATATGAAACTATAATAGATATACTTATTATTATTATTTTTTAATTTTAAATAAATATAATTATAATTCAAACGCAATGATAGCATATCTTAGATATGATATCTGACTTCAAATATATATTTATTTATATCTTTTTATGAAGTGATATAAATTAGCAGAAATTTGTTAATATTATTAGACAATATTAAACTATTATTTAAAATAAAAATGAATTGTTTAATCAAATTCTAGTTATTTATATAAAATAAGGCGTTTTGTTATTTAAATAAAATAATCTTTTATATAAATTGTCGTAAATTTTATAAAATTTAATTTTTAATCAAATAATTTTTTTAATCAATCTAATTAATGGTTAGTCAATGATTTAACCTTGTTAATCTAAGAAACACCCGTAAAAATAATTTTATTCATTTTTTTACATGATAGATTTTGATTTGTTTTAAATTTTTAGTATTAATATTGATTAAAAATCTAAATTATTCTGTAGCTTGGCTAATTACATATAATTTTATTCAATGTAAAAAATTAAATTTATAATTTTTACTTTAAAAAATCTGAATTAAAATTATCAATCTTAAATTAAAAAAATGTTATAAAAAATTGACATCAATTTTTCATATTCTTAAAATATAATAACAATAATAATTATATTTATATTAATTTTGTCTAATTTTGATTACATTCTAAATTAATTCCTAAACATATTCCCAAAGATTTACTATATATTCTATTTTTAGTCTGTATTCTACAGTATATTCTATTCAAATAGAAGTTTGTTTCTACACTTAATATTATAATATACACAAAATATATACATAATATATATATATATATATTCTACATATTATTTCATAGAAATTAGTTTTTATAATTGAAATATCTTATTCTAAAACATTTTGGAAAAAAATCTAAAAATATTTTATGTAATTCTAAAATATGTTTTAATTATAATTATAAAAATTTAATTAAATAAATAAAATATTTTCTTTTTTAGCACTGTATTTACATATTTTTAGTATTTAGTATAGTTAATTAGTTTTAACAATTTTAATATAAATATTTGAATATTCAGTTTAAGCCAAGATGATCAAGATAATAATTTGATGGATAAAATTTTATAATTAGTCTATTTTTGGATAACTTGTTTTGTGTAAATATTTTTGTTGATAATATTTATAACATAATATAACAGTTGATAAGTACAGTATATTCAATATAAATTAAATGCAATACACAATATTATGTACAGAATAAATACTGTATTGGTATATAGAAAACAATAGGCACTGGTATGTAGACAATGGTGTGTGTATGACATTGTATGTGTTGGTACGGATCAGCTGCCAAAGCAATGTATGTTTTAGGTATAAATCTCTTCCCACTGCGATCTTTATTAAACTGTGAAATGAGATGAAGGCTTACCATTGCCTTCATTGCATTCATTCATAAATTTTAAATTGACTAACATTTTAGTTCAATACATAGCAAATATCAAATGTAATACTCATTGTATTGATTGTGTTGAAAGTTAAATACAATATATATTTTATTCGCTGAACTTTTCATTTTTCAAGTTATGAATGTTAAGTATATGGTAACTAAGGCTAAGTTATGTGTAAGTATAGGCCATTTAGTGTTTATAACGTAATACTAAACTAATATCGTTATGCATTGACAGTGATAACAATGATAAGCTTCTGTATCTAAAGCTGGAGCCAATTGTTAATAAAATGTGATCTCCCGTTGGGATCAAAGCAATCTTGCAATCCCTCAAACATATGGACACTATTTTAATCGATTTTTACTTACATCTCAAAGTTAATCAAACATTTTAACATATAATAACATGTAATTAAAGTTTTATAGTAAATCAAAACTTAATATATTTGTTAGTAATAATATTAATGTTTTATTAATATACTTATATATTTTATTATTAAAATTTTGTTTTTATTTACATTTGTCAATTAAAAATTAATGAATCATTTAAAGGAATAATAAATGTATTGTTAACTAAAATTAAAAAACTTGTTAACAAAATAAATTTAAAATGGATTTAATTAAAATTGTCGCCAAAAGTAGTCGGTTGTCGGGTAAGACTAAAGCCGATAGGAAGACTATGAATTGACATCTGATTCATACCCGTACCCATTGGCCACCGACTATCATGTGTTGGTCCGGTTGAATACAAACTATCAGTTGATGAACCAAATGGTGGCAAAGGATGAGATGGAAGTAAAGCTCCCGGACTTCGGAATACATTCGTTGTCTTCTTTCGTTTCTTCCATTTGGCTCTAAATTCAACAAAAAAATTATATTAAATCCAAAATTCAATATATTTTTATTATTTAAATACTACCTCCTATTTTGAAACCAAACCTATAATTAAAAAAACAAATTATTTATTAATATATGATTTTAAACCAAATAAATAATAAGTCATGAATAATTCTTATTTATTTAATAGTTACACAAATAAATATATGACATTCAATTATATAAATTGTAGTTATTGTTCAATTCATCATTATAAATTAGGATAATAGTTATGATGAATATTTGAATAAATTATATATAAATAAAACTATTTAGGATTTTATATAGTTTATAGGCCATAAGTTAATTATTACTAAATAGGATAATAGTGTCAATAAATTTATAATAAAATTAGATATATTGTAAAAATATTTGCAAATTTTGCATGTTTTCATTGTTACTAATACTTCTTTATTAATAGAAAATAAATGATACTAATTAGGATGATATTGAAATAATATAAATGTGATAACACTTGAAATTAATTAAATTATGACTAAAATTGAATTTAATGTTTTTTAATGTACATATCAAATACTACAGTGTATATTCAATAAAATTTAATTCAAAAATGTAATAACACTATAATTTTGTTTGGATGTATCCTATATTTAATATTGTAAATTTTAGTTTAAAAATAATGCTATATATTTTAGTATATTATTAATTTTTTGTTATCTACATATTTTGCTTACTTTATTAATTGCAATGCATTTTTATGATACATAAAATTGGTTTTTTCTATCCGCTGAATATTTATGACTAATATATTACATGAGCTAACAATAAATTTTAGTTACATATATAGACCCTCTGTTTGTAATATCTGATAGTTATTTAGTAATAATAATAATCATTTGTGAGATCGAAATCATTGTTAGCAAAGCCTCTCAATAGACATTGAAATGATATAACACTATAGAGTTAGTGTCTATAATATGAAACGATAGCATACATATCAATGCAATCATTTTGTTTTGTCCCCCATTTTACTCAATGTATGGCCTCAATGGGACGGATTACTTTTTAATGGGACAGCAAAACCACATTAATATCAAATGTATATTTGTTGTCACTAACAAACTACCAGAGACTCCCTCGACGCCATTCTCTCTCTCTCTCTCTCTCTCTCTCTCTCTCTCTCTAGCACTCAGTCAGTCATTTTTGCAGCATTGGTAGTGTGTGTATGTGTTAGACTATTTAGTGAGATTGCGGCACATCTCACCATATATTAAGAGACACATAGACAAGGTTTCACTATTATATACCATTATATGTATTATATTGTACTGTATATACAGTACTACAGTATATAGATATATAAATTTGTAGTAAACATTAAATATAGTATAAGAACGTAAAAGTGATGCACATATTGGAGGACAACAAAAAAGAGTGAGAGAGAGAGCTCAGGCATTAAATGCATGACAGCTATACTGTAGTCAACTTTGGAGAGAAGCCTTACAGTTAGTGTTGGTAATTTTTCGCAATTCAATTTTCGATTGCCGCAATTGCGGAAAATTGCGTGAAATTGCTTGAAATTGCGCGCATGAGGGAATGTATAAAAATTAACTTTGACAACGTTAAAAATTTTGTTTACAATAGATTAAGAGAATTTACTAATTTATTATTATTTTTACATGGTTTTTAGATGGCAACATTTTATGATAAAATAATTAAATTTTATAAAATTAATTTATGTTTTTATTCATATTGCTTTGCCATTTAAATTTTGTTAATTTTTTAAAAATTATAAATTTTTCTATGTTACAATTGCGATTTTCGCAATCGAGCTTTTTGCAATTGCGGCAATTTCACGCAATTTCCGAGCAATGCAATTGCGCATTTTGCAATCGGTACATCACTACTTACAGTGATATATGTATGAGTCAGTGATGATCGCAATACTCTATAGAAAATACTATCTTTTGGATAATTTATAAACTATGGGCTAATAATAATAAGACTGACTTTCTATAATATAGTGGTAGTAGTAGTGGTAGTGGTAGAGCACAACTGCTATGATTTGAATGAAATACAGTTCCCAAAGGATACCCTAAAACATATCATATAATGCATATAATATGTTCATATAAAATGGCAATAATATATAAATTTTTAGATTAGCAAAAATCAAATTGAAAAAAATATATTTAGAAACAATATTGTTGACAAATACATTTTATACTTATACTTAAATAAAAAGTCATATCATACTATATACAGTACATAACGATAATTATGATAATTATTTTATAGATATATAAATATATTTGCACTTAGAATTTTAAAAAATCAATCTATTGATAAAACAAATATACCATTCAATATAATATATCAATACAAATGTGAAAATGATTAAAATAACAAATTGCTTATAGTTTAGTTTACAAACAAAGTTAATAGCTAAATAATAGCATTATTACGCTAATAAATAAATAAAATAAAAATTTATTTAATTAAATAGATTTATACGTGTAAAAATAATCATTGATAGTAAAATACCTAAATGCAATATAAAGTAATACAATACAGTTAATGTATATATATATGTTTGAAATGCAAAATTTAGTTTTCCCACACATTTAAAGTCAATTGCATGGATAGAAACACATTATACTGTATTATACTTACAATATATATGATACATAAAACACAGATAATGTTTTCATATTTTAACAAACAATATTCAATACATTCAATTTTATTACACTTTTACTCCTTTAACAAGTGATTTTCAAAAATAAATTTTATGAAAAGTTATAATAAATAAAACACCGTTTGTTTTGTTGGAAAAATGGGTCATAAGAGCGGCATTTATAGTAATAGAAAAAAAGACAACAATATATTTGTGGTGCCGTTGTTTTGAGACATAAGCCCACACAACGAGAAAATTGACACAAATATCATTCATCTCATTGGTATTATAATTAACATACAGTCAGTATTTAGTAACTTTAAAAGATTTTATAGTGGTTTATATCACTTTCCCATAGGTTTATGACTTTATATGTATGAAAATGAAGTTTAAGATAAACTCATGATATTAACAATAAGTATAGTAAACAAGAAAGTGTTAAAAATGCCAATTAGGCCAAACCTGAACGCGAGACTCCGTCAGACCGATTCTCATGGCTAGCTCTTCCCTCATGAAGATGTCTGGATAATGAGTTTTACCAAAACTTCTCTCGAGCTCCTGTAGCTGTGCCGGTGTGAATCGGGTCCGATGTCTCTTCTGTTTGCTAGGTTTGTCTTGACTTGAATGGTTACTTATGGTCTGATGATGGGAATTGCCATCATTGGTATTGTTATTAGACTGCGAGACACTTACTACCAGTGCTGATGAGTTTTCAGATGGTGTGCTCGTTATATGATTGGAAGTGCTATTATGTCCGTTCTCTCCCAAAAACTGAATGTTATTTTTTGAGTTATGATGTGAATGAAGTTGTTGTTGAAGAAGATGTTGAAGTTGATGGTGTGCACTGCTATTGCCAAGTAAGCTACCGGTCGAGCCGTTTGTAGTTTTCAATGTATTTGAGGCCTCATTGTTGGGATCGACTTTCCCTACTTTTAAAAAATAAATGTAGAAAATTGTTAAACTTGTCTACTATTTTATTTTAATTCATTAATTTTTGTTTCATTAGTATTACTTTTGTCTAATATAGTATATAGAAAACAAATGATTATATAATAGAGTTTAAATACCTGTCAAAGTGTTTATAAGCTATTATTTTATATATTTGAAATGATATTTAAGAAATTGCATTAAACTAGTTTGCATTATATTATATAATAGACAACTAATATAGTAAACTCATAAAATATCAAACAAAAGTAACATACCGTCTCTTGGAGGTGATGGACATGTAGTTAGATTTGTTGGATAAGTGCTGAGATATGGGTGTCCGGTATGATGAGAGTATGTGTTATGAATCTGTGAGTTATTCATAGCAGCAAAAGAGTAAGCACCTAATGATCGCTGTTGTCCACCAAATGCCTCATGAGGTGAATAAGACCTACTGATGGAACTGTTTGCCTGATGGTGCGGCATAATGAGTCCCGCAGCTGCTGCCTGTTGCTGGATGTCCATGAAAATAGACTTATTGATCACGGAATCCTGTTTCAGATCATCCACTGTATGTATAATACTCGGGTAAGTAATAGGGAAGTCCTGAAAGTTATAATTTTTCGAATATTGCCAACACTTAAAACTGTTTGTAAATCAGTTTAATAACTGATTGCAGCAAATCTTTTGCAGACATAACACAATAAACCAATAGTTATTTTTCATGAGTTTTCATTTAAGTCAAGTTTGAGGAACTCTTGAATGACAACTCTGGAGACACTATTTCGATGAAGAATTGTTTATATTTTAATATAAAATTATTTTTATTTAATGTATACTCATATATATATGTTCAAAACAACTAACTTTACCGCCGACTGGCCACCTTTCAGCCGACTGGCCGTAATCACCATCACTTGTATACATAGCCTGTCATTTAGGGAAACACCCGACCTTCTTATACTAGTTCTCTGATTGGCCGCACTTGCCATTCAAAAGCCCATCTCTAGCATAGAGTATGAGTTTAAAAACCACTCCTTCAGCTGTCAGTCAACTGCGCTCTGTTCCTCCCAATGCCTTCAGGCAACTGCACCTTCAGGTGGGCTCACAGAGAGTCGCAACTTATACACTGGCGCTTATTGTCTAGCATTATGCTGCCTATGCTCTTGTATTGTGCATATAATCAGACTCACCAAATGTACAGTAATTGTTGTACCCATAAAACGCTATAAAATTAAATCAATTTTGAAAATACAATTATTTTGTAATTTTAAATGATATTATTTGAAAATTATTGGTGGATTATTTGATATTATATTTTTTATCCATTCCATACTTGTAAATAAATTTTTATAGATTCAATTGTATTTAAAAGCTTAATTGACTATTTTATTTATATTAGACATTAAAATTGTTTTTATTTTCCAACTTTGATTAAATGTTTGGCATTAAAAAATTATATGTAAATACAGGAAATGTTAGAAAAAGTTTTGGTCAGTTTAGTAGTTAATCAGTTTGTTTGGTGTCAAAAACCTTTTGTCTACAGATTGTCTGACCTGTAATGCATAGACTATTGCACACTATTCTACAAATGCTTAATCGGAACACTTTTACAATATGTTTAATTGAAAACATAGCTAATATAAAGTAGAATAGATTTAAATAAATAGAGTCATCAATATTGCCTACCAGTGCCGCGACAACGCCGGTGTAGTTTGTAATATAAAATTGCAATTTTAATGCAAATCTATCTCAAATATTTTTAATATTGAAGCCTCACGTGCACAGTTTAATATAGAGCACGTGCAGTGTGCACGTGAACTATTGTAAGGATTAGGATAGGACTAAATGGTGTTGCCTTATAAACCATATAAACTAAGCCCACATCCGATTCCCGCAACGATTAATGAAATGGTTTGCTATCGATTGTGATCTGTAATGAACGGGAAATAACTTTTATTAGTTTTATCGACTCTTGTTTTCGCTTTCACTTTATTACACAATCACTGAGACTATACATCCGTCGGAGCAAACCTGTGGAGACGTCAGACTATCACATATTTGATTCATAATATAATATATACATCAATAGTCAACTGTTATTACATTTTAGCCTACATTTACTTTACTATTATATTTGTTACATATGTATAATAGTATTATTTACTACAGTATTAATGTAATGTTAAATTTGTTTCTTTTTTAAAAATAGCTTAAATGAAATATTTTTATTAAATTTTTATTTGTTCTTAAAATAAAAATTAAAAATATATATAAATAATAAACATACAAATTAAATACATGTTTTAAATTAAATGAATATTTGTTGAGTCATTTATTGATTACACTAATAAATTGAGTAATAAGTTGTTTGTAATAAATTATTTAGTAATGAATTAAATGATTAGTGTATAAGATAAATAAATGGCAAATTAAATGTAAAACGTTTGACTATTAAGTATTATATTATTAAGATTTTGATTCATTAGATTTGAAAAGCGCTAAATTATATTATATTCATTTAATGCATTTAACTTTGATATGAAGTGTAGTTCAGTTAGTGGTTCTCCAGAAACGACAGGAGAGTTAAGCTCACGATTGCAATACTTTATTATTGCTATCAAATAAAATTGCCAGCACTGGTATCATTGGTATTGGTGTGATAGTAAGATAGTTAATAAAAATATATGTGAGGCCAAAACCATGATAAAGCTGTCAACTCATATTATGGTCACATTGTTTTGCGTAATGAGCTCTGGTATCAAATGGCTGATCATCTCTATATTATACTAGATATACTATAGTATATCTATTGAAATAATAAAAATACAACAATAGTTACAAAATGGATAAAATAGATATAACACTTTGTACTGCATAGTGAAAACAAAAGTAAAGTAAAACACATAATAAATTCAATACATAGACCTAAATATGTGATATTCATTCATTTGATATCTATATGAAAAGCATTTTCAAACTTAATATCTTTGCAGTAATATATCCAAAGAGGACTCACAATTCCCTGAGCATCACTTTATATCGTTTCACAATACAATCAAAACCAATAGGACTCAAAACAACTTTCTTACACCAAACAAATCAATACATTTGTGACACTATAAGTAAATCGCTTCAAACAAAATATAAAAACCTTTTAAAGTGTTATTTATACAATAAATTGCTTAAAATGTATATCATTTTATAAATTTATAGATATTTGAATATTTTATGTTAAATTTAAATATTTTAGTTATATATTATTTACAATATAAAATCAAATTAATTTATTTTAGCAATTATTGCAAATTTTAAATAACCAATTAATGAACAAATAAAAATTACAAATAATACATACAGGTATATAATAATACTGTATTATGTTTAGATAACATGACCATTAATTTAACTTATCTTTAATAAAAATCTATAACATATCACATAAATTACTATAATATTAATGACATATACTTGTGAAATAAAATAAGTTAATTTAATTTAATTTAATATATTGACTAAAATTATTTATATGATATAAAGATTTTGTTGTAAACAATTAATAACTTAATTGTTCTTTTAATAACAATATAATTTATTATTTATAAACAACTATTTATATTAAAAACCTCAAACAAAATTTTATAGTTTAAAATTTAGACTAATATTTGTAAATATTTAATATTTTTTGTACTTATATTACTTTAAATATTGTAAGCAATAGTACACAAAAGTGATTAAGTGTTATTAATGTTATTTTTTCATTTAATAATCTAATGATATTTATTCTAACCATATTTGCAAATATAATAATACCAAATACCCAGTTTATATGTGTGTTTTAATTTTATCAAGGTTCATTCCATAAATTATAATTAAAAAGATTATTTATAATTTCAATCACTGGTTAAATAGTGTACAGCATATTGTAAATTATACAGTATTTAGATGTATAGCCTTTATAACGATATTAGGAAAGTGTGTGTGAAGTAGCTTTTAAGGCGCTGACAATAAAAATTAAAAAACACTTTATATTTATATATATAATTGTTGTAATAGTGTTTAAAATACAGTACAATACTTATTAAATACAATAATATATAAATAAATAAATAATTATAAACAATAATTAATATAAGTATCATCTATATCTTAATTAAAAATAAATTTACTTGTAAAACAAACAAAAATCTAGCCAATGTGTTACAATGTTAATAAACTTAATTAAGTGTATGAGACTAACAGCAATTAAAAACAATTAATAATTAAAATAAATTTATAAGTATTTATACTTGTTTCATTTTTGTAAATAAATTAAATATTATTTTTAAATGTTAAAAAATACTAAGATTTTTTAATAAAATTATAATAACAAAATATATTTATTGTAAAAATAACATATTATATATACATTAATATTACAAGTTTAATTAAAATTTAAATAAACATTTAATAGTAATATTATATTTATAAATATTTTAATAAAACAAATATTGTAATTATTTAATGACTTGTAAAAGCATTAAATAAATAGAGTTCTATAGAAAAACAATTTTGCAAATGATTAAAAGTATTCATGAAATTTGCTGTTATATTATTGACTATTGAATGAAAGATGCATTTAAAGCGATAATACATTCAATAGTAAATGGATATTAAACGCGGGTATAGCGTGCAATGTTTGGATATATACTGTATATTGTTTAGCCATCATTGATATACAGATGTACCGGCAATTTCCGGCACCGGGTTTTTATTCATAGCCATAGTTTTAGTGACAATCGGAAGTCGATTGGAAAACATATCAAACACAACATACAGTGTCTCTAAAACATTAGATTAAAGCTTTAATACAAAGAGTTTGCTTACAATTAACTGAGAGAACGCTTGCGTTAAGACATAAACCGCATTATTCCACGCCTTTGTCGATACCGTTCCTCCCATTCCTTTGATAACACATAACATAAAACTAAAAGATGACAGAGCCTTGAGTTTTGGATGCTTTTAATATAATGCTTAAAAAGTCAATATTAGAGAGTAGAGACCAAAGTTAGAGTAAGTGTGTGAGCAATGGCTCAGATTTAGGAGTTGACAGAAAATTTGTGACATAAATAACGGAATCGACTGACGAGGGAATAATTGAGAGGAATTCACAAATTCTCTTCTCATTTATCTTTCCTATGGATACCATAGAATCCATACGAGAATTCTAAATATTTGTGACTTAATATCAAAATACTATACTTAATAATAGCAATGCAGTCAATACTACAGCTATAATGAGGAGCTATATGTGTGACGTGACATATGTAAAAGCACTTCATTTCACTATATGTTACACTTTATATCATATACTCTCAATATATTCATATAATACAATCACATCTCTAAAAATTTAACAAATACTCTATTTATTAATAAACTTATGCATTGACACTCATTTTTAATTTAACTTACAATATTAAAAGGTTAAAAATTGCTATAAATGTAATTTGAGTTTAAATATCAAATTTTAAATCATTTGCAATTTGTAATCATGCGTTTAATATTTTCAGTAATTATTATAATTATTATTACAATATATGTTATCATTAAATAAATGCTAACAGATGTATAATATTATAGCTAAAAATTATAATGCAAAAATATTATTTATTGAAAATCAGACTAACATTAAAGCTTTAAAACATGAGATATAAGGCAAAAATAGCTAAAATTTTGTGTTTTATGGTGTATAGTATGATATGGCAGGGAGTGGAGTGACAATAACGCTGTATCTCTATAGCTGTCATTTATCACTGAAAGTCATAGCAATGCGTGGAAGCCTTAGTGAAACTTTAATGCATCCAATCCTCGTCCCTATGGATGTCTTTTCCGGACCATTTCGATGGAAAGACAGGAATCATATACTGTATATAAAGTGAAGCCAAATGACAACTGTTTGTTGAATCCATTCGTTGCCATTGCTCTACATATATATATATAATATACTATACTATACTTGTGTATTATACTAGTCATCAACTCTTTTGGATTATAATTAAGTTTTGAATTCATCATCAAAACAATTCATTTAAACATTTAATATGTCGTATATGTTTAGTAGTTATACGGTAAATGTTTATATAGCTATATATAGTCTATATATATATATATATATATAACTAATAGTTGTATATCAAAAACAAACAAAATGTCGTTAAGAGCTTCTCTCCATCTTTCACTCATCCAATTCCCCACAGTTTTCATCACAAGAACAGCCTATTTATCAAATAGATTTTGATACCCAAACTTAGACTACGACATCACATCTCAAGCATACAGACACACATATCGTATACATTATAAATCTATGTCTATCTTAACTCACTATTTCAATGTTTTTCAGCACTTTTTTGATCAAACCTTTATATCGATTAGTCTTTACTTTGAATTGATTTATATTTTACATCAAAGATTCTCAAACTCTTTCTTAATATCAGTCATTCCTTTGAACAACTTTAGTAAAATTGAAAACTTTTGGCACTATATTATTATAATACATTCATAAATCTATAAAATTAATATCTTTCATATTAACAATCCATTAAATTATCAACTCTATAAAAATATATAATTTGTATACAAATAAATTCAAATTTATATAAAACACAAATTCAAGTTATATTTGTTTGAAATTACAGTTTTAGTGTTTAGTGTAGTATTGATTTACAATTCTAAATATTCAAAACTGTTTCTTACACTTTACACTATCAATGTTGTTGTTTTCAAGTTAAACAAAATTATTTTGAACTATTTTTTCAACTATTGTTTTTTAAATATAATATATTGTATTTAAATAAAATTATTTATTATCTTAATTAATCAATCCAGATAATACTTATTATTTAGTGTATTAGGATGTATTTAGTGATTAATTTAATATCTAATTTATTATTATACTGTATATTATACAGTGTATAATACAAAAATTATATGATAAATATAATTTTCATTATAAAATAAATATATATTGCATATAATTCCCAATAAATACTATCATTTTTTAATAATTACATTTTTTAATGATTATGTACTAATTGATTCAATTAATCATACTCATTTTTATATTTTTCAATAAATTTTTTATATGCATCTAAAATAAAACTGAAATATTAATTTTAAATTAAATATATTCACATAATTAAATTATTTATTATTTACTATAATTAAAATAATTAATATGATATACTCTAAATTAAATATTTTTTATGAGAAACATGCAATTTAGAAACCGATGATATTATAAAATATAATCACATTTTATGTTTCAGATCTTAAAATAGGTAATTAGTTTATCATAGTTGTGACAAAAGCAATATCATAATCATAGACTATGATACTAGAGATTTAAATCTATTATTACTATTATAATATATTGTTAATTATCTAAATAAGATTTTCCATTAGATAATTTTATTTAAGAATTGATTTAATTTTTATAATATATATTATAACTATTTTATAAAGAATATCAATTTATAATTGAAAATGTAATGTATGGGAATACCTCATAATTTTTTTGACCTATTAGATTAACATAAATATATTTTTTATTTGTTTAAAATACTGAATATTTAAAGATAACTTTTAGAAAATATATAAATTGACACTTTATAATATACTGAATTATTTATATTTAATTTGTTATTTGTTTGGTTAATTGGTTAAAATTTTTTTGGTAATCAAAATATTTTGATAACACATTATACGGTAAATATGTAAAACAGATTCTGTATTATACTGTATATTCCATATCATAACATAACTAATGAGAGTTTATGAGATATATTGCATTCGTATTCTTATCTGAATGTATATTAAATGTAAGTATATATCATATATTATTTATTTCTATAGCAATCTTATCATATTTAAAGTTAATAGCATCAAGTTTTTAACAATTATATCTATTTCTTTAAATTATGTATAATATTAAAACTGTTATATTTAAAAATTTTTGTAAAGCATTTTATTAAATTTATTTTAATCAATGAATTAATTTTTATTAGTAAATAATAAATATAACAATTAATTTATCACTGTTTAAGACTCTCAGACATAGCTTTAAATAATCTATTATTTGAATACCAATGTATGTGAACACTGATTGCAACATTTAAAGGTAAACTAAATACATGTATAAATTTAACAAATTAACAGTTAATTCAATATAATTAATATAATAATTATAATTATTATCAATTTACTTAATGTATATATTAGTACTGTATTTAATTGTTTAAAGACATTAATTAAAATTGAATCAAATGTTTATAAAACATATGCCATATATTTGTCATTTAATAAACATAATAAACATTTTAATAAAATATAATTAAATTAATTAAAACAAATGTCAATAATTATTACATCACTTGTTTAACAATAGGATTGACGTTATTATTGAGATATGTTATCAAATGTAATGAGTTTATTGTTTGTCAACTAATTTAATGATTATTTAATGTAAGACAAGACTTGTATTAATTGGTCTCTTGAGGATGACTTCACCCAAATGTTGGACACCGATTGTCATCAAAGTTAATGACATATTTGATGAATTAAGAGATGAAATTAAAAGACTAAACAATGAGTTATCGTTTGCCAACAAATTGAAGAAACATTTGGACAAATTATATCAAAAGTATGGATCACTTATTGATGAAGAAGACAGACATGAGTTTCAATTATTGCAAGAAGTGATTACAAGAGAAACACTAAAGAAAAGTGAAGGGATTGGTGAAGACAAACATGCGATGACCACTTGTGATCACAATTTTAGTCATCAAAGTAATATCACAACTATGTCCACAAAGATTATCACAAATAATAGTTTAGTTAATAAGAGAAGTGATAGTATCTGTTCATTGAATACCAAACAATTTAAAACACGAATGATGTCCTCAACGGTTGGCAAACGGTTTGTGTGTAAAGAGTCGAGTTGTGGCCAAATATTTCTTACGAAGTCTTCACTTAAAAGTCATCTCAAATTAGTTCACAGCGATTACAATATATTTAAATGTCATTATAATAATTGTCATTTTAGTGCACCACAAGAATCGCAACTTAAGAGGCATATGACTGAATCACATGAAGACAATATTGCACTACAAGATAAACGACACAAATATCTTCAACTAATGAGTTGTTTTAATAGCACAACCAATACATATATTTGTCCGGAAATCTGTTGTCGAAAATCGTGTCCAACTTATTCACAGTTTTATAATCATATGAAGTATCACTCGGATAAAACAACCTGTCATCACACGGACTGTCGACAAGTTTTCAAAGATTTTGAACAATTGAAGCAACATTTATTAGATCATCAAAAAGAAATGACATTCAAATGTGATTACGATGAATGTCACTTTGGATGTCTTACTCAAAATGAATTGATATGTCATCAGACAATACATAAAACTTTTGTTTGTAATTATAAAGATTGTAATAAAGTATTTAAAAATGAATTCAATTGGCAAAGACATATCAGATATCATGAAACAGAGTTTAAATTTGTTTGTAGTTTTGTTGACTGTAACCGCTCTTTCAAATTAAACTCACAATTGATGAGACACTCGGCTTTGCATAAAAGCGAACCGACACTTATGTGTGGAACTGATGGCTGCAATAAACTGTTTTTTAGTGATAATGAGATTACAAGACATAGATCGGCCGTTCACAACATGAAACGTATTACACTTAACAATATTGTGTCGTGTGATTGGCCCGGATGTGATTACAAGTCTAATTCATATACTATGAAGTCTCATAAGAATCTACACACCGGAGAAAAACCTTATATCTGTGAATGGCCTCATTGTGGTCGACAGTTCCGATTGATTCAAAATATGAGAGACCATATCAATGTCCACAATAATGTCAAGCCTTATGCCTGCTCGTGGCCCGAATGTAACTACCGATGCCGGTGTAGTGGTAATATTTTTAAGCATATGAAACACAAACATAATGTTACTGAACCCAGAGGTCCAGGAGGACGAAAAATACTACCTATTGATTAGACATATTTAATATCAAATCATATAATTTTTTAAATTTAATTTTTAATGATAATAAATAATAAAAATATCAGTTTATCAAATGATACTGTTAAACATAACTATTTGTTGATAGATTGCTCACTGGTTTTAAATATATGAAATATTTATTATTTTGCTTAATTTTTTAACAATTTTGATTTACTGGTAATTAACGTTTTATTATTTGAGTTTTTTTATCACATATGATGCCTAAAGTGGTTTATGATCTTATTTTTAAAAATGAAATCATTAAGTAATTTTAGTTATGAAAGCCTTAATGTAGATAATCGGTAATAAAATTAAATTTAATGATTAAATTAGAATTTATAAAAATTAATCCTCGATGTAAAGTAATAGAAAATATAAGTGATATATGATTATCGTTTATACAACACATAGAGTTTAACACTTATTGGAACAGTTGTTGCACTTCTTGGACCAAAGTCTTGGCCGTTTGAAACTCTGTTGTCTCCGATAACTCTGTTTGTGTTTCCTATTCATAACAAATTCAAACTTATGTAAAGTAATATAATTTAACAAATTTAAAATCATTAAATACTTGTATAATATTATTCAAATCATTGAATGCTTGTTGAATACGAGTCATGGTGTCCGGTAACATCATCAGCGACTCATTGATCACTTCCTCCTAATAAACAATTCATAAAATTATCTGTCATTTGAATGTTGCTATTAATCAATAAATTCAATACTTGTTTCCTGATCTCATAGTCGTCTTTGTTTTGACTCTTCATAGTTTCCAATCGCTTCCTCTCATTGTCCACTTCTTTCTCGTACACAGTCTTCTCTTTTGTCACTCTATGGTAATCAACAGATCATATCAAATGTCAATATAAAGTAAAGATTAATACAATTGAATACCTCTTTAAAATTCCTGTTTTTATTCTCATTTGATTAAGTCGTGGATCAGTCATCGTAAAGATAACAGCAAATTGTGGTAAAATATCACCAAAATTAAGACCAATGAAGACAATTGATGGCAAATATCATATAATACTTAATTGCAATCAAACTGTTATTTAATTGTTTTTCAACTCATTTCATGACTAATACAACAAATATGTTATTTGTTTAACAGTTAACTAAAATTAATGAAAAGTATATAAACTTATCCCAAATGTTACGATATATTTGTATATTTAACTAAAAATAATGCAAACATTTATTTGTTTCAATTGAAAATCAATATTTTTAATATCAAAAACAACGTTACATTTGTTGCAATAACACACAAACCCTTTATAATTATAATAGTAATCGATATTTGTGTAGAAATTGTAATCATTGCGACCATTGTTTGTCTTGAATTGTAAACACATTTGAAATAATTTGATTCAATTGTTTGATAATAACAATCATTTTGTGACCAATTGATACCAAATATCAACTAATGGCGGATGAATTGGTTTTAGGCGCCGGAGATGCAGATAAAGAGTTTGATGACGAAGAGTATGATGAGGGCGATGGTATAGTTTGACATTTTGTTTATATGTTTACCGATTGAAACTGAATGTCGGCAAAGAGCACATCCAAAGATGATATGATAATAGCATTTATATTATTATTTATATTATTAAAGAGTTGTACTCTTTGTCGACAATTCAGTTGTTGTGTCAAAGATATGTATATTAATTGTTATTTAATTATCTATCAGAGAGTGTCATCAAAATGAAAGAGAAGGCCACTCGTCGTAAAGGACGCGGCTTTGGACCCGGTTTTGGACATTATATGAGATTTTGTTGAATTGAATTAATTTATTATTTTTGTTTTAGAGGGAACTGCTCGCGAAGATATAAAAGTTTATGAGGCAATGGATATCGGCGACGGACACAATGATTCGCCCGGTCCTCAAAAATGTATAATTTGTTTGATTTTAATTTTATCAGATTATTATAATAATTTCTTGGGAACAGCTGTTGAGGGATGGATTTTATTCATAACTGGTGTTCATGAAGAAGCACAAGAAGAGGACATTTACGACAAATTTGCAGAATTTGGCGAAATTAAGAATTTGCACTTAAATCTCGACCGAAGAACAGGTTTTCTTAAGGTATCATTGATTTAAGCACTTATTTAACAGTCTTTTTACTTTAAATTTCTTTATTTCTTTTAAAACTTATGATTACTGGTAAATATATACTTACCGTTAATATCATTAGGGATACGCTTTAGTTGAATACGAGACTTATAAGTCGGCCAATGCGGCACTCGAAGCACTCAATGGATCAGATATTTTAGGACAAACCATTCATGTGAATTGGTGTTTTGTTAAAGGACCACATCTTAAGTATTAATAATTATCACATTTTTAAATATATACCGTAATATTATATTTAAATTATTTTATACACCATTTAGGAAACGTGAACGAAGAAGACATTAGTTATGATTCATAACTAAGATATTATTATTTTGACCCACAATTGTAACCAATATTCAAATCATTTTAACTATCAAATGATTAGTCAGATGTTTAATTCATTTTATCATAATTATTAAATTAAACATTTAAAAGTAATTTTTATTTTATTTTTTAATTTACAAAATAAATACACCCATAAAAATAACAATGTATTGAAATGTGTGTCAATTTATGTTTTAAATTAATTAGCAGAAAAAATGTTTGCATATCATATCACATTAGGTCTTGATTTTGATGACTCAGTGCAACGACAGTGAAATTCAAATTACTCGGGTCTTTGTCCACGAATTGTCGTATAACTCGGGCCGCATCTAACAGAAAGGTCTCATCACTAGTTTGACAGTGTTTTATGGGTTGTATTTGACTGCCATCCAAATGATATAGATAGCCGTTATTATGAACCATTGCCACGAAATGCCCGCTAACATTGGCATCGGGTGCCGGTGTAGTTGTCTGACCCTCACTGGCGCACACGTGATGAGCATTACAGATATCTTTGTTACCCTCCAATAGCCGACCTCTTTCTTCAGGTGCCAACTCTCGACTCTTATCGATATAATTCTTTAGACTTGAATTGTCTTGAAGAGCAATTTGGTGACAATTGTTAGCCACTGAATGAATGAGCGCAACGGTTCCACAGGCGTTACGAATGGTTTGTTTCATGAAAAAAACATTTTGTCGGTTGTCGTCATCCATGGTATCGATGTCTTGAGTTATACTTAGTACGTGTTTGTGAGCACTATCAGGATATAATAGGATTAGTGCCACAACTGGTCCTTCAATGAATTGTAACAACTCTTCATCTAAACCGTAGACATCGACAATAGACCACTCTTTAGGGACACCAATAGTCCATAAAAACTTGTTCATAGCGTCCGGATTGGACTCAAGTGGTGTCCAATATATTTCACTTTTTTCTTCAGTCATTGTGTCAGTCAATGAAATCAATTTTAATTGAATGACAATTGAATTACAAATAACTTAAACGTAAAGCAAATGTTTTGTTTCAATCATTTGAGTCAACAATCATAGACTTCACCGCATGTCTCATATATAGCACTAAAATAACAATTTGTTTGATTACTAGAGACCCGATTGAAAAAAACATTTGAAACCCATTCACATAATTATCACAATAATATCTTTATAATAGTTTTATATGAGATTTAGTAATATATAAATTAAATTATAATTTTGTTATAATCTTTTAGTTAATTTATTATTTAAAATTAAGAAATAATTATAAAGTGATGTAAATAGATGTGGGTCTCTATAGTGTAAATGTAAGCATCAATAGTGAGTCTCAGTGTTTGTTAATAGTATGAGTCCTGTAATGCATTGCAGTCAACGACTCAATGAAGCCATAACTACATGTATAGCATAAGTATATAAGCATTGCTTCAAACAACTTATCGCTTGTGTTTGAAATTGCTTTTCATTTGTTTTTTAATCAATTGACTAATTTGTTTGTATTTGTTGTGATTTTGGTGACAATTAAGACATTAATAATACATTTGATGATATCGTAACAGACATATGATTGATATGACATTAAACAGACAGTGAATTGTTGTCCACAATAGACAACACATGCAAACCATTGATGATATAGTTATTAACGTTTTGATTGTTTTGTTTTTGTGAATATTTACTATAGTTTGTAAACAATTGAAACAACGATTGAATAATATAAACAAAAACAATACAATTATAAATAATTTGTAAATATGAGGATTATGTGCTATATGTGTGTCTCACAGACAACCTATCAGTGCTTAAGACAAACATTTTTCATTACAATGATTGCAACGATGTCTCACTTCTGTAGCTTTTCCTATGGATTTAGACAACACTGGAATCAATACAATAGTGAGACACAACCCGCTGTCGGACATCATAGAGGTATTACCAGATATTATCAGATATTACCAGATATTATAAAACACTCGACTAATCCATTATTAATTATTTTGTTTGAGTAAAATAAATAATATATGATATTATATATATATATCATATATTAAAATGATTTGCTTGAAACCTATTTAATTGTCTTTTTTGGTTAGCATTAAAATGGTTGAAAAGCATTGAGTGATGTTTTGTGAATTACTTTTTATCATTTAATCCAAGACATCGACAATAGACCACTATTTAGTGACACTAATAGTCCATAAAATGTTGTTCATAGGGTCCGGATTGGACTCAAGTGGTGTCCAATATATTTCACTTTTTTAGTCATTGTGTCAGTCATTGTAATGAACTTTAAATAAAAAAACAATTGAATGACAATTAACTTAAACGTGAATTACTTACTATTAAGTAATAATAGCCTTGCATTAGACATACAAAATATAATTGACATCATTAACAAAATAGACGGTATAAATGAATAGTAGTCATAATAACAATATATTTTTTTAAAAACTTTGATAAAATTATATTTAATAAATAGTAACAATAACTTTAATACAGTATTAACTTTACATTTAATATAAAATATTATGTTTTGTTTCAATGCTTACAATCATTTGACTTAACAATCATAGAGTTCACCGCATGTCTCATATATAAAGAGTTGGGACAACTTAGGAAGGGAAGGAAGTTTTCTAATAAAATCCCTCTAATTTTTGCCTTAAATATTTTATTTCTCTCCCTTTTATCATTAGAAAAGGACACATATTTTTAATTATTACAATAAATAGTACTAAACTTAAATATTTTGCATAAAATTCAATTAAAATATTTAAAAATAAATTTATATTTACTGGTACTGCTTATCAATACCACTCAAAATAATTTACTGTTTAATATACATTAGTTTTTCAAACATCATAATAAAATTTGTTTAGTATTCAAAAATGATAGCACAAGGAAATAAATTCCCTGGAATTCCCAATGAGCAGGGAAGATAAAACGATGGAGGGAATTGGTATATAGTCCTATATATATAGCACTAAAAGTACAATCGATTTGATTACTAGAGACCCGATTGAAAACTATTTGAAACCCATTCACATAATTATCACAATAATATCTTTATAATAGTTTTATATGAGATTTAGTAATATATAAATTAAATTATAATTTTGTTATAATCTTTTAGTTAATTTATTATTTAAAATTAAGAAATAATTATAAAGTGATGTAAATAGATGTGGGTCTCTATAGTGTAAATGTAAGCATCAATAGTGAGTCTCAGTGTTTGTTAATAGTATGAGTCCTGTAATGCATTGCAGTCAACGACTCAATGAAGCCATAACTACATGTATAGCATAAGTATATAAGCATTGCTTCAAACAACTTATCGCTTGTGTTTGAAATTGCTTTTCATTTGTTTTTTAATCAATTGACTAATTTGTTTGTATTTGTTGTGATTTTGGTGACAATTAAGACATTAATAATACATTTGATGGTATCATAATAGACATATGATTGATATGACATTAAACAGACAGTGAGTTGTTGTCCACAATAGACACAACACATGCAAACCATTGATTTTTTATTTTTGTGAATATTTACTATAGTTTGTAAACAATTGACACAACGATTGAATAATATAAACAAAAACAATACAATTATAAATAATTTGTAAATATGAGGATTATGTGCTATATGTGTGTCTCACAGACGACCTATCAGTGCTTAAGACAAACATTTTTCATTACAATGATTGCAACGATGTCTCACTTTTGCAGCTTTTCCTATGGATTTAGACAACACTGGAATCAATACAATAGTGAGACACAACACACTGTTAGACATCATAGAGGTATTACTAGATATTACCAGATATTATAAAACACTCGACTAATCCATTATTAATTATTTTGTTTGAGTAAAATAAGTATTAATATATATATTAATTATTTTGTTTGCGTAAAATAAGTATATAAACTATTTTATTTTGAAACCCATTTAATTGTCTTTTTTGGTTATTTTGAAAATGGTTGAAAAGCAATGAGTGATGTTTTATAAATGAAAATCACTTTTTTATGATTGTTTTGTTTGCTTATATATAATTAGAAGTTTTGATGACTTAATTTTGTGCAAACGAGTCCTATCTTTATATAAAGACATTATATAATATATGTAAGCATTTTAATGTGTCTAATGTTAACTAACAAAATCCAAAACTTGTTTGAGAGTATATTTTGCCAAAAGTGGGAACCCCTGCGTATATGACCCCTCTTTTGCTAACATAACTTTGCAATACATAAGTGCTATTATTATATAAACTATATATTTTAGCCATGAATTTAGTATATTTTAGTTGAAAGAAAAGTTATAATAATTGATATTTGATTTTTTACAGAACACGTCCGAGACTTCAGTTGCGGTCGATTTCATTACAGGACTTTTTATTTGAACATTAATAGGGATACCCTATATGTCGGTGCGATGTGAGTGTCATCTAAATCACTATTAATTGTTTTAATCGGATATTTGTGTTTAAAACTAATGCTTTGTTTTATTTCCAATTATTTAGGGATAGAATATATCGATTAAATTTAAATAACATAAACAAAACTAGATGTGAGGTAAAGTAAATTTACATTTTTTTAATAACAAACAAAATTTTTATATTACAATTTTTTCTATCAATAATATAAATTTGGTTAAAATCGGTGATAAATTGAATTTTATTTGAATAAGTTATTCAATTAATATTATTGATAATTTATCTACATTTTAATAGTCAATTCTTAGCCTTATCTTTCGGTTTTCAATCAAATTTAATATAAAGTTTTTCTTATAAAAAAAAAACATTTTTACAGATAGTGTTTAGTGTTTAATAGCTTTTGATTGATATGTAAATCAAATCTTTAAAATGACATATTTTAGTCACATATTTTTTAAATTGAATCTTCATATAAAAACTTAATCTTAAATATCTTTTTAAAAGAAATTATATCATATTTGAAGTAAAAAAAATTTTGAATTAATTAAATTAAAGTTACAAAAGTTGTGCTAATAGTGATGTTTGCTGTCAAACTTGCACTATATAAAGTACATAAAAATAATAACTAACATTAAAGTAAATGTCAACATTAATTAAAAATTTTGATTAACTCTACAATCTGTTGAACAAACTATTGAATACATAGTTTATAGCGGCTATACTATAGGCTAAGCTATAGCCTAAACTATAGCCATCACTGGAAACAAACATAAGTTATTTGAGTTTGCAATATATAGTGACTATAAATAAAGTGATATTGTTATCATTGGTATTATTGATGAATGAAATGTTGATTTTAATGATTTATAGAGTGATTCGTTATCATTGGAGCCAAACAACGTGGCCTCGTGTGTCTCCAAAGGAAAATCAGAGGTTTGTTTTATTACCATTTGCTTAGACATTGTCATCACTTTTTTTTTGCTTAAAAATCATATTTCAAAATATTTCAAAATATTTTATTGATTTATTTTTGTTTAACTTCAATCAACTTTTTACTTCTTTATTTTATTTACTAAAATATATTATGTTATTATTTGTGTGTTTTATATTTATTTATTCTATTGTAAGAAATGTTTTGAGTTTATATGTTATTTGTATTATCATTTGAACTGAATTTATATAAATAAATATATTTTATCTGTCTATGTGTACAGCTTTATGATTGTAGAAATCATATTCGGGTGATTCAACCGATAGGAAGTGATAGCAATAACTTATATATTTGTGGTACTAATGCTCATAACCCTAAAGATTGGGTCATTAATGTAAGTATTAATACATTTCTATTATTTATGTTTGCATTTATAATTCAATTTTTATAGATTAATCAATTATTTTATGATAAATTAATCACAAATGCATTATTTAGCAAAATATAAATTATATGACAGAATATAGATTTAATATTTATATTTTTAGGCAAATTTAACATTACTGTCATCACACGAATCATTTCCCGGAATCGGCACCGGTATAGCTAAATGTCCATTTGATCCGGACGATAATGCAACTGCAACTTGGGTTGAACACGGAAACCCTGATGGACTGCCCGGTCTTTACAGTGGATCTGTTGCTGAATTTACAAAAGCAGATACCGTTATATTTCGCACAGATTTATATAATTTGACGAATGGACAAAAAGTACAACCATTTAAGCGGACCATCAAATATGACTCCAAATGGCTCGACAGTATGTCCTATATTATTGAATAACCACTTAATGATGTTTTATATTTATGTTTATCTAATACTAATAGAACCCAATTTTGTCGGATCCTTTGATATCGGAGAATACGTTTATTTCTTTTTCCGTGAGAGTGCTGTCGAGTATATAAATTGCGGCAAAAATATCTATTCCCGCGTCGCTAGGGTTTGCAAAGTAAAGTTCAATTTAGTTATTAATTTATAAATAAATTGATTATACTTTTACTAACACTTTTGTTTACATACATAGCGCGATACGGGAGGAAAAAATATATTGAACAAGAATTGGGCCACTTTTGTAAAGGCAAGACTTAATTGTTCAATTCCCGGGGAATTCCCGTTTTACTTCAATGAAATTCGTTAGTATTTATTTATATATTTAATGCTATTTAATATTAATTACATATTGCATACTATTTTGATTATCGATAATATTAATCTATTTATAAATAACAGAAAGCATTTACAAACATCCAGACGATAACAAAAAGTTTTATGCCGTCTTCTCGACATCAATGAATGGATTGATTGGATCAGCCATTTGTACGTTTAATCTCAACAGAATAGAAGAAGTCTTTTTAGGAAAATTTAAAGAACAATCTACTTCATCATCGGCGTGGCTACCGGTGCTCACTAGTAAAGTACCAGAGCCACGTCCGGGCACATGTGTCAACGATACGCAGGTTCTTCCAGATTCTGTGCTCAACTTTCTTCGTGGTCATCCATTGATGGATTCAGCCGTATCTCATGATAACGGAAGACCTGTTTTTTATAAACGTGATATTATATTCACACGAATAGTTGTGGACAGACTTGAAGTCGACGGTATTGAATACACTGTATATTTTGCCGGTTCTAATATTGGAGTCGTATATAAAGTGGTCGAATGGTATGACCGGTCGGGTGAAGTTCACTCTAATTTAGTTGACGTCTTTGAAGCTACAGTTTCCGAACCCATCAGAGCTATGGAAATATCGGGAAAACATAAATCACTTTATGTATCATCCGATTCAATGGTGCGTCAGTTTGATCTCTTGATGTGTAAATCGAGATATGAAAACTGTGTCCGTTGTATTCAAGACCCATACTGTGGATGGGATAGGGATCACTCTGAGTGTAAACCATATGTTATTGGGTATGTATTCAGTCATCAATTTGTCAAAATATTATATATATTATAATTACCGGTACATGTATTTTAATGACAGCCTTATCCAAGACATAACAAATGCCACTCCAGGCAATTGTGACAATAGTGTCCATCACAAGCAAATTAAAGCAAATTGGGGACAAAGTATACACCTTTCCTGTCCGATCCAAATACCAGATATTGAAAGTCTTAATTCAAAAGTGGGACCAATTAAATGGTTATACTATAGAAGTGATCGCTCGAGTGGTTATGAAGTTTTTGCACGAAGAGACCGATTTGTTCACACTTCTGATTACGGACTCGTCATTCTTGGCATTACTGATCGAGAAAATGGTCGATACGATTGTAAATTAGGATTTAATACTCTCTATAGTTATACTATTTCTGTTGATCCGAGTATGTCTTTATTTATTATTTATTATTATTATTATTACTAATTGTTATTATAATTACAACACCAGAAACATGTAATGCACCGACAGATAGTGAATTCAAGAAAGCATATTCTGAATGGTGTCACGAGTTTGAGAAATACAAACAAACAATGAAGTCGTGGCACGACAGACAAGATGTATGTATTTTATTATTTATTTAAATGTCATGATATTATCAATTATTATGTATTACTTTTAATAGAAATGTAAAACAAAAAGTCATTCCAACGATGTTTCCAATGAAAGTCGGTTTTCTTGAAAAGTGATTATTTGTCGATTGGATACACTGTTTGTTAACAAAGAAACAGTCGATTCCTGAAATTTGTGCTCAAATCTGGTCATTAATTAAAAACTTTGAATATTGATTTATACACTCGTTTTTGGATTAAATAATCTATTTATTAATTGCTGTGATATTAATAATATTAATATATCATATATAGGAATATATATATGCGTGAATTTATAAATACCGTATATGCCCATTTAATCGGCCACCCCAAATTGTTATGGTCAAGATATTCAATTTTTCCGCCACTCCTGGCGAAAAATGTGATCACTGATATACATAGCATTGTTAATGTTATACAATGCCTATAATGATAAAATATATCTAATAGCAATAATGTACATTTATATATAACATTATTCTATATAATTACTTCAAATATGCATTACATCATAAATATCGTTACAAAAGGAGTGGTATAATTGGAAAATAACAAAAAACAGATCTCAAAAAGAAACTGTTGTATTTGGACTAATACTCAATTGTTCCGCCACTCTTGACATTATCCGCCATATCCACTGTGAATATACGGTAAATGAATGAACTCTAAACACACTGTTTGATTGTAAATCTAACTGTGCTTTTGTATAATAATAACCAAAGAATAGTTTTAAAAATTGAATTATTTAGAAAAAAACAATACTTGTATTTATATATTAAATATGAGTAAACATGAAAACATTTAATAATAATTATAGGAAATGTGTTTATTTGTGAATATTGTGTATATACTATATAGTAATTAACGAAATCCTCATCAAATGTTTCCATTAATATATCACTTACTTTTTTAATGAATTTTTAAATTTAATTATTTTATTAATTGAATCCAAAGTTTGGATATTTTTAAAATTGATTTGAATGCAAAATTGAGTAATCAATTATCAAGAGTGCCATCAATGAAATATTTATAACTGATATGATTGACAAATATTTATTGGTATTTAAAATATCAATAATTGTAAAGTCAATAAAAATGAAGCAAAACATGTCAGATATGCAATTGAAGAATAAATACAACGTTTGAATCATATGAGCAAAAGAGATGCCAAACAATCAATAAAATATTAAATAATGAATTAATATCTCAATTAATATCTTCTTAACTGTGATTTTACATAAATTATCTTTCATTCCCATAATTCTAGTTCTCATCAATTTATTTATAACTTTAGGGTCACTCAAACAAAGAATTGTAAAAATATTTTATTTATTTATATATAATTAACAAAAAGTAACATAAAATTCAATTTTATTTCATTTTTTTGTCATATAGTGTACAGAATTTTAATACAAATTACTGTGTTTTATGTAAAAATATATTAAAGATTAATAAATTATTATATTATAATATCAAAGATCTTAAGTTAATTAACTAATTTACTGCAAAATTGTTGCCCATTATTATGAAAGACTTGCCTATAAATTGTTATCAAAAATGTTTCTCTTTATTCATGAGTTCATAAATCAACGAATAATTATAAACTATAGATCGTTATTGAGTCCACCCCTCACTCCTTGGATCAGCTATTAATGTATGTTATCAAAGACGTGTTGATCACAACAAATGCATTCAAATAATATATAAGAGTCGATGCGATCCCGGATTTGACGAATCGCTTCAATTGATAGCAATGTTGTGTTCATTGGAGGCACCGCTGGCAACGCCGTCACTGACAAACACACACCCAATCCCTTAGGCTATCAATTAGTTATACAGTAATACCATTACTATTGACTCCATCTTCGTCTTCATTATTACTTTATTACTGTATTTTCATCTGAAACTTGTTTTGAGAAAATTCTCCACATATTGATTCAAAGCACTAGCAATATGACAGCCCATTACCATTGCCTTCCCTTCCCTATCGTTTGACTCCCTTTTAATAACTTCATTATTTCAGTCTTCTCTTTATTTCTCAAACTTGAAAACTACAATTCATTATTGAAAACAAATCCAATGGTTATTTGCCAACAAAACAACCCCTTATATGAAAGTTTGAAATATTTGAAATGATCATAAAATATATATTTTTTTAATTTCAAAACTATTTTTTGTATTACATGTTGTATTAATAGATATGATGATAATAATAAAAATATTAATGATATATCCAATGATTTATATATATTAATGAAATAAAATATTTTAAGCAAAAATGAAAGCTAAAACAATGCCATAATTATTAGAAAGAGATGTTATTATTGATTATCATTTTTACTTTCGTTTAAATTTACATAAAGTTTGGCAATATTTGAGTCACAATTAGTCCGACCGGCGAATTCCAAACGTTTCTTTGAGTTTTCTTCATTCAGTTTATTCGTCCAAATGCTTAGCAAAGATAGGGAACCATTAGTAGTCGAGTCCATGACATTTGACTTAAACTTTTTCAAATGTGGTTCTGAAGCCTTACTATTAGTAGTTTGGTTTTCACTCATAAGTTTGAGTTCATGTCGGGCCCAATTCAACTCTTTGAAAGCCCACTCACTATCGACACTACTTTTGACACCATTTGTCGGTTTTTTAGTCAACTCTTCATTTGTTTCAGAATTGGTCGTTCGGGTGACTGAAGCGGAGTTTAAGTGAGTGTCTGATTTGAGAGAACCCGATCGGCACTCGAGTAAACACGAAAGAACCGATTGATGTTCGGGAGTCACACAATAGCTTCGGACAAAAAACTCCATTTCATTCCATAACATTCTATATAATTCTTCTCTTTTCGGTCCTTTTCCTTTGATACCAATTGTAGGCACCGGAAGATTAGTGCCTTTATTTTCCATTCCCATCAAATGATAGATTGCTTTCTTGCATTCAAGTACTTCTTCTTCAGTCAAGTGTTCTTTGGGTATTAAACTAAGGAATGACGGGAATTGCATTTGAATATTAAATAGAATGGTGTGACCGATGACAAGTGGCCAATAAATAGTTTGTTTAACCAAAGATTGTTTTGCTTTTTCAATGGGCATTAAGACATCCTTATTATTACTTTGAATGACACGACACGGAACTAATCGATTCTTTTTCATCATTTCTCCGAAATCATTAATTCGGTAATCAGTGACTCGGCCACCACTTCCCTCACTAATCGAAGGAGGATCTTCTAGAGTTGATCTACCGGTGCCTAATGTATGAATGTATAGTTCCCCGCAATGACTCGATAACATATGTGACATTAGTTTGGAGTTTCTCGCTCTCGGCATTTCTAACATTACAGTCCGTCCACTCAATAGGAAATTTGTGAGACAACTGGATGGACGACTATTGACATCAACTGAAGTGAACCGAAAAGCACCGGTACAGTAGTGAAGCTCTACTGCATTAGTCCTCGGAGTACACCATTTAAGACTAATTGTATCGTATGTAAAGCCCTCGCGATATGTTTTGTTACAAATTCCGTCACTTATAAGACCAGATCTGAATGAGTCTGTATGTGCTTCGGTTGAGTGGACAATCTCGACGTCATAATTGGCTGAAGAACTTGCATTCTGTTCCTCTTTCATTGGTATACCACTCACTGTAGTCGAGGCCAAGTCATAGTGATTTAACACTAAATATGAGAGCTTAGCGGCCAGAAAGCGACCAGATTTTACCGAATGAACTTCCGATGAAATATAAGCATTCAATTGATGTTTCGGTATTTCAATTATCTTCGATATCGCCGACTGGTCTTCAATTGGAAACGTGTTAATAAAGACTAACTCACAGTTAGTTATTGGCATTAACTGACAATTTGTGTCAACACTTCTTTGTTTTGAAATTAATTCATTGTTTTCGATAATTATGTCTTTAACTGATTCTACAACAGATTTGATGTGTGAATCGTTAGAAAAAGCAGAAATACAGACAATTCGGCCCTTATTTGGCCACTCTTTAGACGACTCTTTTGATTGTTGAAGTTGTGTTGGCATTGAAAGCGCTTCTATAGCCTTATGAAAGCCATTAATAATTTGACAATTTTCTAATGGTTTGTATTGATTGGCCTTCAAGTGTGCAATTGTCCCGCATTTGGCCAACCATTGCATACAATTCTGCAAAGACTGAACTTCGGGATTCCAGTCATTCAAATGAGTGGCCGATTCGGGTCCGCAAACAACCAAACGGATGAGTCGCTCGCCATTTGGGAAAATATCCCAAACTATGCGACAATATTCAGCGATGGCTTCAACACAACAGGTCCACAATGTCTTACTTATTGGACATAAAGGGATGATTCCCGACGGCTGACGACTTCTATTGATGACATCGAAATCAAACGTCAGGTCACAACTCGTCTCCAAAAAATAGTTGCTTTCATCTAATATAACAACAGTCTTATGACTTACAGGATATGACATCACATTAATTGAATCCTAAGTAATCCCTAACTGATCCAAAACAAGACATCAAATCAATTGAAATGTATTTCAAACGCCAAACACATGTCATCTCATTATATGACAAATGACTCGCTTTTCACACAACAGATGGCATTGAAAGCGCTATAAACTCAACAAAACTATTGTTTTATCGATTTTTCCTATAATTTGTAAATTCATTAACTTTTTAGATATAATTATCAAATCAATCGATAGTTACTAATAAATGCAAACATTTTGCAAAGTTTTTTATCATTATTCATGAATTTATTAATTTTTGTCACTAAAATTCATTTTATAATATTAGTAAATTATACAAAACAATATATAAGATAATTTTTTAATAATTATTAAAATAAACTAATTTTTATAAATAATTTTTTAATAATATGATAATTATGATAATATTTTAGTCGCTGAAAAACAAATAAATATTAAATTTTATAACAAAAATTGTTTGACATACAAATATTTTTGTTGATTCAATTTAATAAATAGTATATAGAGTAGAGTACTTGACATATAATATAAATAATAAGCCAACAAATGTGTGTACACTTAATGAATGAGGAAAAGTGTGATTATTTGAATCAAACATCGATCACACAGTTTATCACAGTTTCTCACATTTAATGCTAACAATTGTGTCACTCGTCTACAGTCGGCTCTAATTTCTGGTCGATTGTCTCATAGAAATGTCAATCTATTCAACATTTTATTACCCGAACCGATATTATTAAGAAAAAATACTCATTTCTTTATACATTTCTATATTAGGCTCTTATTACTTAAATTTTTAAATAATTTTATAAATATTTATTACTTATAACATTTAATTTTAAAAACTATTTTTAAATTAAAATAATCTGTGAGTAAATACAATAAGACTGATTGTGATAAATACAGTATAATTGTATGCAATTAATTAATACTGTAATACATATACAGTACATAAATATTATAATTTCTTATGGGTTGAACTTTGCATCAAAATTAAAGTTTTGTGAACAAAATATTCATACATTTTATAATAAATATTAATTTAATATAATTGTTGATCTCATTTCAAATCTATAATTAAATCCAATTGAATGTTAATTTGTATCCATAACCCGATCCTATATTTCTCGATCTCTAATTTGTGACACCAAATGGCAAACATGGGTTAGCTCTCAACAAATACTTGTTTTATTTGAAAAAAAAGTAATCGACTATTTCTGTACCAAAATAATCATTATATAATCAACATTTAATTAACTCACGTTTTATATAATTATAGACAGATATTGAAAATTATGAAATTCAAACTCATAGTTAGTTAAATAATCAATATTTTAAAGATCTTTAAAAAATAATCAAATGATAGTTTAATGTGTTTATATTATCATTTTTTGTTGATTATTATCATATATGAGTTATTAAAAAGTATTATTATTATTAAAAATGTATATAAGTATTACTTAAATTTATATTTATATACAGTATATTGAAATAGAAGTTCATTATAATAAATCATTGAATGCCAAACTTGAAAATGTAATAAAATAGTGTTATAACTGAATATAATGATTGCTTTACTTGACTTTAATTTTAAAATTGTTGTAAATGTCTGTCCTTTTCGGTGACTGTTATTATATGACCGAAAATGTGAATAATTTTGGTTTTATGTTTGATTAGTTTGCAATACACTATAATTAATGGCATACAATGACATAACTCTCTATTGTGTTTTCAGTGTCTATCCATTTGCTGTCAATGTTTTTTATGGGCCAATGATTTTTCCTTATATTATATATAAATAAATTGCTTCTCGACTTTAATCAATTGCTTATAAAAGTGTTGTTTTCTCTAAAATAGTTATTTCAAAATCTTTTATATTCAATGAATTTATTGCAAAAATTCTCATTTAGCTGTCGTTTATGAATATAATAACAATAATACAATTTTCAAGAATCTTATTAATCGATTAACCATTTAATTTGAAGCGACTTTCACTGCAATTATTTATAATAAATGATATTTGATATGAAATTTGGAAAATGTGTTAAACGACTCTTTAAATATAGTTATAAATTATAAACGAAAAAAGTATTTGTTTTAAAAGCAAAGAATTTAACATTTGATTAATTCTTATGATTTTCTCGACAAACATATAATACAAGCGATGTATATATGAATTGCCATTTGTTTTGCTTTTAGATCATAATATAAGAACTAATCTTTGAAACTGTTTTTTCAGTCGACTCTTTTGATTTATATTTTGAGTAAAAATATTTTGTTTCACTAAAATCATATACATTGCAAACAATCAATAAATTTAAATAAATGTGCAAAATTTGTCTTAAATCATGTATGTTATGAAAATTTACAAATAAAATGATTTTATTAAAAATTTCAAATAAATGATATGAAAAATTGTTTTACTATTATATTATGAAATATGATTGTTATATTAATATTATTAAATGATCAAGCAATAGTTTGCAATGCAATAGAAATTACATTAGTATAATATTAATGTATATAAACTTCATAACTTTATAAATAATTTATTTTAGTAAATATTATTGTTTAATATATTGATATTTAGAAAAATTGATTTTTAAAATTTAATAACTTTGCCTGAGATATGTGAATTAGTTTATTAGTTTGTATACACTTTTGCAATAACAATGTACTATAAATGATGTTACAAATAATTGATTGTAAACTCAATAAACCTAACTATTTATTAGAAGTATGTCTTGAATTTTTATGTGATGTTTCAATTTATTTGAAGCAAATAATCATTTTTATATTTAGTAATAAACAAAACAAATTATTTTTTAAAAAGTTTTCTCTATTTTCTAAAATATTTTAATTAGTTAATCAAATTATTATTAGATACCTAATTAAAAAATTATTAATTATTGTATTTGTGTTTAGTATCTAAAAAATAATTTATATATTTAATATAAAAATAACAAACATATAAAAATTGTTTTACTACTATATTAACTTAAATATTAGTTTATAGTTGAAATATCGATAATTATGGATCATATAAATTAAGTAATAGATATAGTGAGACAAAAACTGACAATTGAATAAACTTATTTAGAAATAATACAGTATAATAATAATGTTTTTAGCAATAATTCAAATTATATAATCAATAAATTTTAATTTAATAATATTAGTTATGACTTTAAGTCTATCTTCATTGCATAAAAATTATATATTTAAGTAATGAGAGAAAAAATAGAAAAAGAAAGAATATACTGTATATATATATATATATATATATATAGAGAGAGAGAGAGAGAGAGAGAGAGAGCATAAATATCACGCAAATTAAGACTATTTTTCTTGAAAAATGTCATTAGTTTGTCACGATATGTAAAATACAGTATTATATTTAAAAAATTAATATTTAGCGACCTTTTAACGATAAAAATATATTCAAAATAGATTGCTTTAATAAAACTATTGCAAAACTATACGATTCATTTATATTATAAAACTAATATATTGAAAATATTTTACATTTAATCGGATATATTTGTGGTCAAAATGCAGCACCAAATGGAAAGCCGTAAAAACTTCAACCCTCCGGCAGCTAATACTGTTAGCTATGAAAATGGCCCCAAAATCTCTTATGATTTCTATTTCAAAATCTTTGGGTAAAATAAAAAAAAATATTAGTAATCCCTTAAAAATAAATTTAGCGTAAAATATGTTAAGTTTTTGTTTTGTTTATGTTTTTTCAGACTTATATCAACGGGACTGGACTTTGGACAGAGATATGGACCGATAAAACAGGACAGGACTTCTGCAAACTTAAAGAGACTCTATTGTCAACTAATTTGTGCCATTTTATGGTTTTTTGCGATCCGATCGTTTGTGTTGATGTTTATCGGCGATCGAGAGATTCAATTAATGTTAGGCGATATCTCTGGCTTTTGGAATGACTACCGAATGTATTACTTAATGCCAACCCTTTATTACGCTCTTCAGAGTGCTATCACTGCAACTATTTTCGTCAGAAATGAACAGGAAGTATGTCTTCTTTTACTTATAATAATTGTTTTTTACAAAATCATTATCTTATACGTTGTCTATCATTGAATGGACAGTTGGCTTGGCTCGTGCCGTTTGTCTCAGTCAAACAGCTTCAGAGTAATAACGCGCGAACCGCTAAATATGATACAAATAATCACGAAAAAAGGACAAAGATTACAATTGTTATCAATAACTTAATAGTATTGCTGTCGACAGGTTTGGTGGGCGCTCTCTATGTGATGACTGCCTGGGAAAACATGGAAATGTCTTCATTCCAACTGTTTATACCATGGATTGGTATCCAAACTCTTTGGGTGTTTTACATGTCTGGCATTAATATGTTTACAATGACTTACTTCAACCTAATTTGTCTCATTTTGAGTAATCGTTTCAAACAAGTTTGCAAAGACATTGAGGCATTGGCTGAATCAGATCCGGGACCAGTTGGCAGCAAAAATAACGCGTTGTCTACTCTTTATTATGAACACAATGAGATCTGTGAACTGGTGGACGAGTCTAATAATTTTTGGCAGTCCTTTATATTCTTCAACTACATGTGTCACATCCCTTGCAATTGTTATGCTCTTTATAACCTATTCTTTGCTGAATTTGATGATCTCTTGGCAATTGTCACGTGGACTGTATTTCTTCATACTTTGCTATTTCTTGGATTTATTTCTTTATCAGCGGCTGATGTGTCCGCTGAAGTAAAAGACTTGTTTTGTTTTAAATAAATTTTAATGATTATAGCTTTAAATTATTAACTAATCCGTGTTTATCTTATATTTAGGCTCACAGTCCATACACTGCATTACATACTCTATCTCTGCTTCAATTACCCATTGATTTGGAAGTCAATGTAATCTTTATATATATTTATTTATTTTTAATACAAAAGGATTAGAGAATAGATTTTTACTGAAACTTATATCTTATATAAAATAATAAATTGTTATATATTTTTGAAAGATGTCAACATTTTTGCATCGAGTGAGAGGACCAACTATTGGCTATTCATGTCTCGATCTGTTTGTTATAACAAATGCAAGCATTTCTAATGTAAGCATTTGTTTGTTATAAGTAATGTCATTGAAATGAAATGTTAATCAAATTTTATTGTTATAAACTAACAGACAATAGCAGCGGTTGCGTCTTATTTCTTGATTGTGGCCGACTTTAGCCGATCGACAGCTGCGGCCAACGCGGCAGAGAAGAAGATGGAAGCGGCAAAGGCTGCTCTCAACGCCTCACTGACCACTGGAGCCGCCACTCAATAACCAATGATTTATAACTACTCAATGATCACATCTATTATTGATGTTTTCACTTGATATGTGATTAATGTTCACCAAATGATTATATGATTTAACTATTATTTATGATTATGTCTTATATTTGATTTAAGTGTGACTTTGTTGTACTAAAACTATTTTTAGAAAATCATTTTTTGTTCATTTTTTTGTTCATTTATCTTATATTAATTTTAATTTATTTTTGCAAATCGTTTTATATTACAGACGAGTGCTACACAATAAATGCATTAAACCGTAATGTAATTTGATATAAAAATTTGATAATAATTGTGTTTCAAATAAATGTCAATTCTTTGTGTATTATAGCAAATATGTTGTTTAATAAATTGATTGCAAATTAAAACTGAATTTATTTCTAAAATTTATACAGAATATTCTTTTACAAATATTTGTGTTTCATTTAATTGTTTTGTTTATTTGAAAACTAGTAAAATAAGATAATAAAAACATTTTGTTTGAGTCGATTGTTTGTCTAATTTGTAGAACTGATCCAAATTAAGATTTGAAGTGTTTCTGAATTTATTAATTTAAAAGAAATTCATTTATTTTGAGTCAATCATTGGGTTTAAACTCAATTCAATGACTATTTGATACAACCCTTAATCGCTTCATTAAACCACTTCTTCACTAAGTCTTTAGTAGTCTTTTCTATTAAATATCGATCCATTTGTTTAAATTAACTCAATGTATGTGTTGTTATCAATAAATCATTGCTTCAATATATTATATAAGTATATAATAATATAATATATTTATATATAATGACAATAATAATCATATTATTATCATATCAAATATCATTAAAAAGCATGTTTCCAACATTTGTTACATATTTTAAAATATTTATTGAATTTATCAAAACATTTATTAACAATAAATAGTTATTATTTTTACTTATTTATTAATGATATAAAACAATCAGATAATTATTAAAAAATATTTTTATTAAACAAATCATTAAATATTTAGAGATTATATTTTCAGAATTAAGGAAAAGTATAGTAAAGTCAATATTATTAAAACATATTATAATTAGTCGCTCTTTTACTTAAATCCATAATAACACTAAAATTAGATATGTTTTGAATGTAACCACTATTTTATTTATATTTCAATTGGTATATCAATAGTATGCATACCATTCAAACATAAGTTTATCATTGGCTCAATTAACAAATTATAATGAATTAAAATCTATTGTATTTATAGTGAGTAATATAGCATATTATTATCATATTGTGTAAAATCATTGAAATCAAATTAAATTACATATACTGTAGTATTCTGTAAGTGTTAATATACACACAAAAAATCTTATATATCTATATTATTTGGTAAATATATTATAACTTTTTATATTATGGTAATAATAATTTTAGCATAAGATAAATAATGTATCATGTTAAATTCTAATTATTAGTATCTATTGATAATGTAAATAAAAATATGTGATTACATTCAAAGTATATTCGCACATAAATTTAAAATAGTTTTCAGTTTTTATAAATATTTTTAAAGATTATAATTATAAATGATATTTAAAACCGATTTCATTTCAAAAAAAATCTAATTAATTAAAGTTTAAGATTAATAATGAATTAATAATTAATTAACTTTGAAATCATACGATTTGTTTATTTATTTGAATTGTTATTTGAGTTAATAACCAATTGTTCCGTTGTTTTTGGTCTTCTAAGACGATATGTCGGACATAATTGCGAAACAACTGTCTGATGACACACTTTAGGTCTTCTCATACCTGTTTTGATGACATCTGCATATTTGGTGACCATTTCATTGAATCCCATTTCATGCGATTCGTGTGAAGAACTAAACATCAAATTTGAGTGTTGTTTGTGAACCAAACACTTGTCTTCATTATTATCATTAGTATTGTCAGAGAGTGAACACCATTTGACAAACGACTCTAACGTATCTTCAGTAGTGTCCATATGAATGTCATCAACCAATTCATTATCCATTTGACCACAATTTGTGTCTTTGTGTTCATCATTGCCACCAATTGATTGTCTTTTTATTTTGAAATTATGTGAACTATAAGGACGTCTAACTTCATTGTCCATCAATGTCTGTGTTAGTGAGGTATTCATTGATGTATTCACTGAACTATTCATTGATGTATTCATGTGGTTATCACTGAAGTCTATGAGATCTCTTTGAATATCCATTTGTAATGAAGAAGTCATACAAATAGTGACAAAACATATATTGAGTCAAACACTGGACTCTAAGGGTTGACAAATACTCTTCATTTTCAAGGTTTGTCCTCAATTTGCTATCAATTATTTGATAATATAATTAAAATATAATAAATAATATATTATATAATTTAAATTTTTAACAGATATTAAACTTTAAATCTAATACTAAATCATAACATATTTTATTTGTTATTTTATTAATTTGTTTGATTTGTTATATTTAAAAAATAAAAATATGTGTAAAATATTAGAGAGTTGGCAATCCTTACTAGACTTATAATATTCATATGATTTACAGTTTATTAATAAAATCAAACCTTTAGTAACATATGAATAGTGAATACATTAACAACCGATTCATTGATTTCATGTCATGTCATATGAAGTCTTATTGAAGACATTATACATTGAATTTTAATCACTGATTCATTAATTATCTATTTATTAATAATACAATATTTTTAATTATATTATTATACGCTTTAAAAGCTTTAGTATAAGTCTTAATGATAACGAAAGTTCATATAACTAGAAATGCTTTGATATATGAAAAATAAATTGTATGTGAATTAAAATTATTAAAACAATTGAGTTATTATTTAGTTGACTAATTTGATTTGAATTTATTCAAGCATTCATATTATGTGATGATTCAGTTATTCATATATTATATAATATATATACTATTCATTGGATTAAATGTCATCTCATTGAACAAAAGAGTTCAACATATATACCATATATTAAAATTTATATTATAAACAATATATATTGTATGCTAATATAAATAATGTGTATGTGTATGTGTATGTGTATGTGTATGTGTATGTGTATGTGTATGTGTATGTGTATGTGTATGTGTATGTGTATGTGTATGTGTATGTGTATGTGTATGTGTATGTGTATGTGTATGTGTATGTGTATGTGTATGTGTATGTGTATGTGTATGTGTATGTGTATGTGTATGTGTATGTGTATGTGTATGTGTATGTGTATGTGTATGTGTATGTGTATGTGTATGTGTATGTGTATGTGTATGTGTATGTGTATGTGTATGTGTATGTGTATGTGTATGTGTATGTGTATGTGTATGTGTATGTGTATGTGTGTATGACTTATATTATAGGGGTTGATAGGAATCGATTGATTTGCAAGTTATTCATTGAATTCCAGAATTTTAGCGATTTTTATATAATATTTATAATGAAATTCTCGAAATGAATTCTTATAATACAATATACAGACATACAGACAGTGCTAACGAACATCACTGACATTACACTCATTTGCAATGAGATTTAGGTCATAACATATTGATATATACTTAAAATAATTGAAAATTTATCCTCATTTGAATCAATATAATTAAAATATAATTAAAAATTTAGTGATATAAGTTATTATTAAAAATAAAGAATATTTTTAATTTATGATTACAATTTGCTAATATTTGATAATATGTGTGCACTTAAATGGCATTTACATTACTTATTTGTACGTTAAGTAAATCATTAGTTTTTAAGAAAAATAATGATAAGATTGTCTGCATTTGAGAGGGAGATGGCATGAGTTGAAGCAAAAAACTATAAATAAAAAGATAATGATTTGTGGATTACGACAATGATATGTGTGATGACAAACGTTTTAGTTAAGAGTCAAATACACATTTATCAGTGGCTTATTTAAATAAAAATAATAACTAAATGATAAACAATATTTAATATTTGATTGAAGTGAACAAAAATCAAAAATTATAATTTAGTTTATAAATGTTTGAGTACTCTCTGAGAAGACAACTTTTAATGTCTTTACTCAAAGGGATGCCTCAAAAAGCATTGTTATGATCACTGATGCGAATACTTTCTCATCTTATATAAAAAGTTTTGATTTGCGATCAAAAGAGATTAAATAAGAGATTTAGTTAGCAATGAATTATATGCTACAAGAGTTGCTATGGGGGACAGTCATATAGTTATTTGATAATACCTTAAAGATAACAATCATAACTGTTTTGAATGCAAAAGTCCTTATATTATGAGGTTTTGTCACTTTTGTCTTATATAACCTCAAAATGAGTCACAGCTTGAAAATGTTATATAATATAAATCTTGTATACTTTGATATATATCTATACTGTATATACTACACACACACATATATATATATATATAGATATATTCAATGTTTGTATATATGGTGTACTGCATAACACTTGCAATATTGCTTTTTGATGTGATATTTGGTATCGGAAATGATCTCAACTGACTCATGAAATTATGACTTCCCATCATTTATTACATGTTAGATATGAGATAACAATACCTGAGAGTGCCTTTTGATGAATAGTTTTCTTGGAATTAACTAAATATTAGTTTTATATCATTTCAATGTATGCACTCAACAGTTGATTCATTATTATTATAAATACAATAATTTTATTATTATTCGTATAACAAATTACATAATTTGCAAAATGAAAAAATCATACTTATGTTTACATATATAAAATTTATAGAAATTAATGTTAATTTTAACTTATATTATATGTTTAATAATATAATATAAGTTATATCCCAACTAATGATTATAATATTAATAAATATCAAGAAAAAATCATTTATAAATTATATATATAGTTTTAACCAATATTTAAATTAATTTATATGGTTATTAAAATTGTGTAATTTGTTGGCAATTTAAAATTTGATATTGTTATATTAAATATTTAAGTTTTAAAAGATGCATAAATTATATGTATATTATAAATAGTTTATATTACTTAATAAAAATTAAATATTAAAATTAAATTATAAATTATATACTATATATTAAAATTAATTTGTTTTTAAACATGCTTTATAACATTTCTTTATCATTTGACACAACCATTAATGATATTTTTGTTATAAAAATAAAAATGTGACTTTTTTAGGGTAAGTATAATAACACAGTATTACACAATATTGCACACATTTAATAATGTTCAATAATGTTGAATATGCTGCTAAAATGATATATAAAATATGGGAGACTTTTTTGGTAATAAAATGGCAAATAATCGATACATTTCTCATAGCAAAAGACAACTCATATAATGCTAATGAAAGCTGTTATTAGAATTTATTGGTAATATTTTTTGTACAAAAATCGTTATATTAAAACAAATAATAAATGTTATTCACCTAATATTATTTGATAAATATTAAACAAAATTATTTGAGATTCACAATGTTATCTACAGATCAATCATATAATCAATTGTAATCTTTATTATAAAAACAATATATACGTGTATAGAGTATACACTTCTTAATCATAAATTTGTTAATAAAAAGCCCTAAAGAGACAAAACAAGAGATGGCTTTCTTCATGATTTTCAAACAACATAATAGATATATAGAGGTATTGTATAAACCTTTGGGAAATTTTATATAACGTTTGCCTACATTTCTACTCAAATCACAATTTTTGATAAATATTTTCAAAGTTTTTGAATTTACTAAAATATTTGTCTGAATTATTTTATAGCATTTTTGTCATCGTTTAAAACACATACTATCAATACATACCAAATATACAAATCTCTTGAGAAACTTGTTATTGGACCGACACTTCACTATCTAAACATTGCCTTATTTTATATACAAAATATAATGTCTATTTGAGTTTTAGTCATGTTTTTTGAATGTATAAAAACTTTATTAAAATCAGTGTTATGTTTAAATATTTAGTTAGTTTAAAGTTGTATTGAATATATATAGTTATAAAACATGAATTTATATTATTGCATGCAAACTACAATTTGTTAGTATTTGTTTATTTCAGTTTATATTTGTGTTAATTATACAAACTGAATGCTAAATTAACTGTTAATTATAATCAGTGTTTTGTAAAAATTATCTAAAGTAATCACAGAATTGATTAAATAATTTTAAAAAAAACATTTAATTTAAAGAACTGAAGCATTTAATTATTTTTGCAAATCTCTTTTAATAAATAAATATTGATATTTCTAAGTATTTTAATTAAATATTATTACTGAAGTAATTTTTAAATTATTTTATCATTTTAATAATAAAGATTTTAAAAACTCAGAAATTATTATAATTATAATTATGTTTTTATATTATTTAATATTATTAAACTAAATTATTATTATATTATGGTTTAAAATGAAATAATTAAGTCTCAAAATAAAGATGAGAATTCATAATGAATTGCATTTAAAGTAATTTTCGTTAGTCTTTTTTGAATTATATTTAATGAATAGTTATATATATATATATATTTGTTGAGTTCATACAATAATAGCTGCATATTTGAAAAAGTGAGAGAAAATAAAGAGAAAAATATAACATTATTTCAACAGCTAATGTTGTATCACAGCATCAATAGTGATGTACACTATTTAGAAATATATTAGTAAAACACATAACATTATTCTATGAGCTAATAGTCTAAAGAGTGTAGATTTAGAAATCGATACAAAATATAGACTGAAATGACCCGATATTTGCTCTCTCTCTCTCTCTCTCTCTCTCTCTCTCTCTCTCTCTCTCTCTCTCTCTCTCTATTTGTGTGTGTGATCCCGGCATTTAACAAGCAATGTTTGGGTGATTGCCGTACTATAGTAACGGTTTTCTCTTATGAGACAACTATGTAAACATTCAGAAATGATCCCAAAGTTAAATGAATCCCAATATTGCCATATATTTACTAACATTAAGTTTATTCAGACTACCGAAAAATATGGGTTTGGTTAAGGCTATTAGTTTTTATATTCTTCAATCAATTTGTTATTTTGTTATATATATAAAAATTTTGAATAACATTTTATTTTATATAAGAATATAATTATAATTATACGGTAATAAAATATAACCAAATACATAAAATAGAAAATATATAATATATAATATAAAATAATAATAAAACAGATATAATGACATATGTAGAGTAGTCTCTTGAAATATATAGAGAATATTCTGATTCTTTAATGAAGTAATTTAGTCAATACTGTATATATTTATATATAAACCTAAAATAATAAATATATAATATTATAAATGACAGTGTATTAAGTTTTATGAGTTTTATAAACCAGATTAAAATAAAGTGTTAAAACTTTAGAGTCATATCAAATGATAATCGGTTAAAAATTGAGAAAATATCACATTTTTGCAAAAATAACTTTACATTGAAAATCATTAGATGAATACGTTAGTGACTGCAGTGTATTGTAGACTCACATTAAACACTAGCTATGAGTCTTACACTGCAGTTAACTCAACTCCACTAACGATCGATGCGGTCGACACACCACTAGTAGGAACTGTAAGTAGTAGTGAATCTACTATAACAACACACATACACAACA